TATGTGTGTGTGTATTATATATAGATATAAAATATTATATATAATATATATAATATTCTCTTTTTTACTCTTTTCTCTGTCACGTGACTTTAGTCACAAGGTGTTTTTCTACTTTTTCCTGTCACGTGACTTTAGTTACGTGTTGTTTTTCCACTTTTCTCTCTCATTTCTTGATTTCGATTTTCATGCGTTATTTCTGCGACATCTCTCTAATGTGTATTATATGGTTTGGAAAACGTATGTACTAGCTATCATAGCGGTGACAGATTGTGTTCACTGACACAACACGTTAAAATAAAAACAATAATAGCGTGCGCGTAACGCGCGCCTGTGTCGTGCTAGTTATGTAAATTGCCGCAGCTTGCCTTATGGTGTAACCCCTCATAATTGTATTATTCATGCTCGCAATTCAAGAACATAAGTTACTTATTATTCCACGTGGAACGCGGTATTAAATGAGTCTTATTTTAATTTTTACAAACCGCTAAGTATATGTAGCGCAAAATTACGAGAAACATATTGACGCGATATTAACATATTGTTTTTTGTGTTTACTGTTGATGTTAATACACTGTTTGTTTTACATATTTATACATTTTGTTTATATATAATTTTTGATGCACAGCAACGCGCATCCCTTTTGTCATTTTATTTATTATCAATTTTCTCTCGCACACTTGCGTATAAAAAAAAAGAAAAAATCAATAAAGAATGTGCGCTCGAATATTCCCAACTGATCGATCAAATTTATACACGAGTAGGTTGCATAACGAAGTTGAGGACGGGAAACTTCAGAGGCAATTACAACATTTTCGAAGTACGATAATCGCTCGCTGGAAATAACCGGATATCTCGTGTGCTATAGAAAATCTAATAACGTTTCCCCCGGAACACGCACAATCGTTGATGGATTATCGTTCGATCCTAAAATGATGAAAATTGCCAATGAAGCGCGGCGGAAGTACATACAGGAAGTACATTCCGTTACGTTAAGTGTTACAGTCAGTTCTACTTTTCTAAGTGTAATCCGATCAGACGGAATCGCTGTTAATTATCGCATAAATCGTTCGATTATTGCATTATGCTGTTGGATTAGATACAAGAAATTCAATTACATGTCTCTTTTCCGTGTTTTCAAAAAAATATATCAAGAATTATATTCTTCTTTTTGTTAAGAACAATTTGTGACCGTTAATCGGAAAATTATTATCATTTCATGCAATATCCGTGTTTAGAGACGAAATGAAACATTGCGCTGTTTTTTAATCAACAACAGAAAGAAACAGACACAAAGCGGCAGTGTGACAGCAGCTTTAGGCGACGCTAGAGCAAAAAACGAACGCCGGTGATTAAAAATCTGTCGCGTTGTTTTCGCTATTTCGCAAGTCTAACGGAGAAAGAAGCTCAATATAATGAATGGAAATACCAAAAAGACACAATAAAACAAAAAAAAAACATACAGTTTTAATGCTACATCAATGTCGCACCGATGTTTATGAAAAAAAACTAGTAGACAGAGAGAGAGAGAGAGAGAGAGAGAGAGAGAGAGAGAGAGAGAGAGAGAGAGAGAGAGAGAGAGAGAGAGAGAGAGAGAGAGCTATCTTTAATCATCGCAAATGTTCCAATAGAAAACGTTCGTGTAAATTGACTTTAACGATCCTCGAAATATATAATAATGCCATTATCGCATTCTTTCGTAGATCTTTCATTACTTCCTTCTCATACATATAGTTGGACATCGCACGTCATTAACGTTCCGTTAATTCCGCGCGCTTTTACGTTCACTTCTCTCATAATAGTTCCACTCGGCGACGTAAACTCGCGAACGTGCGAAGATTCGTAAAACTTAACCACTCCGAGAGGATACGTCTTCTTTCTTTCCGTTTCCTTCGAGTCACTAGCGAGCGTAAATTCATAACGAATCAAACGTAAATCCACGATTAAAGTTACGGAAAACAAATTGCGTCGCGCATTTCCATACAGATTGCTCGCTCGCTCGTATTTCTCAGTCAAATTACAGTCAATATTTTTTTTTTCTCAAGCGTGACGTCACCGGCGACCGTGTGAAAAACGACGGTTTCTAAACGTGTCTACCTACATCTGAAAAATCACTGTTTTGCGGTAAGGACGGCAAAAAAAAAAAAAAAAAATAGCAATCTCGTGAAACAAGTAGACAACAGATTTCCAACGTGCGTTTCGCTGCAATTGCAAGTGTGACATCAGGTCGCAATGAAAGAGCCAATGAGAGCAATAGTCGACGACGGGTAAACCTCGTTTGCTCACAGTCGCGACTGTAATTAAACGTCGCAAAGGCTGCACGTGAACCGTTAACGCAAATGCGGTCGTCTTGGTAACGGCTTGCGCGCGTCACATCTTTATTACAGCGAATTGCTTGCGAATGATTGTTTGGAAACTCTCGTGGGATAATTTTGAGATTGATGTAAATCAGACGGATTGGAGCGGCAAAAAGTCATTAAGGTCGGACAGGTATATCGACCGTTTGCCTCAAAGGACGTATAAAGGCGGATTTACGAGAGACGATGCATTCCCTTGGCCGGGAGGGGACGTGTAGATAAAAGCGCGTACTCATTTGTCTTCGTATTCAACTTATCGAAAAGTCTTTCAATCCTGATCTCACCTATCGGATAGCAATAAAAATAACGAAGCAAACATGTCTTCGTGCGTTATTATACGATGTATGTATGTATGCGTTATGTACAACACGTCTTTGTAGAGAGACAAAGAAAGATAGAGAGAAAGAAATAGTGCGCGTAAAATTGTTACAAAGCAATAAAATATTTACTGACATAGAAAAAACAGAGAACACAGATGGTATTTGTCGACAAATCGACTGTGTGTTCTCTCTATTATTTCGGTCAAAATCAACTCGGTGTTTGCAACACCGAGTATATTTTCTTTTCACCGGAATTCTCTTTCATAGAGTCCTGCTGAATGAAAGTACTTAAACCACAAGCCAGGTATTACCTCACTACCGTCTGCAATTATCAGCCGGAACATGCTGTTAACGAGGAAAGCCTTTCAAAGGCAACACAGAGTTTCGATTAAACTTTTGTAGGCGTTGCCGCACAAAAGAAAGACATGTATTTTTCTCCGGATGCGTTAGGAAACTTATTTACTATTTCATTTCGTTGAAAGAACCGCTCGACGAGTTCTTTTTCTTCCGACGATAATTTTTCAGGAAATTTTTGACAATTTGATATCCCTTTGTTGGACGATACACTCGTTTTCGTTATTATTGCCAACTGAATTTAATTCCCACCTTCTATCCGTTTCCCATTTTTGTGCCAAAATATCAGACGAGTTTATTGAAGAGGATTGAAAACAGATATTACAAAGCTTTCTAAGATACTGCGTTTCTTATTGTGCCATTTGGTGCACGAACAAATGGGATTGCTCCTTCAACGAGCGTGAGAACGTGCAACATAAAGTCGCTCGTAGTTACAGTTTATGTGACACGCTTAACTGCCAGCTCTTTGCAAGACCATATCATTTCATATATTTGAGATACTCATATGTGTCTTAAAAAAAAAAGAGAGAAAAAAGATAATAAACGTATCTGCGTGTAAGTGTACTTCTAATCAAAAAAGTGTACCGTCACTTTAATAATTTTTCAATTTGTTATTCCCAGACAGTTTAAAAATATTACACAATGTATGTAAATATATAATTGGAAAAATAATTTGTAAAATAAAATAAAATAAATGTTGCCAAAAAAAAAACAACTTCGAACTTAATTAAAAAATGACGTAAACATCAACGTTTTCATAGTGATTTATTAAGAAATTCATTGAATTCATTAATTTGGAATTTTATATTTTATGTTTAACGATAAAACTTTGCTGTTTTTATTGTTTATAACAACAATTTTATATATGTCGTACCTGTGTGTGGATTCAACTCATCTTTGTACACTGCTTGTGCATAGCTAAGCTTGAGTTAGCTTAGAACCTAAGCTTGGAGATGAACGTAGGTCCTCCTAGTAAAGCGTATAATCTGGATTTCTGGTGAGTCGAGATTCGTGACGTAAACTGTTTATTCACGGTGTATCGCGTGACGAGATAAGAGATATTTCGTTCATCTTTTAAGATTAGAAATATGCACTCACATAATCCAGAATGTGCAACGTGATATAAACTGTACGAGACGTGTCGCGTATAAAAATATACAATGTTCATTAAAGTTTCTAATTAATGTGAATATTACGCGCGTCACACTGATGACGCGACGGCACACGTTAATGCGAAATCTCTCCATCCGGATTTCTTAATTGCGAGAGAGACGCTCGGCTCAAAAGTACGAGAAATCGTGAACTGATTTCCATCTCGATTAAAATGAGACTCAAAGCTATTTGACGGGGTAATTGCGACCGACTCGTTAGCATCACGCTCGACGCGACGCCCCTCTCGTTCCCCTCCATAGACCCCTTTTAACTGAGCGGCGCAGTGGAATGCATCGAAATTAGAGAACCGCATCGTCCGCAGCCAGTAGTAGCACATAGTTGCGGATCCGCCCGAACATCGTGTCCAAATCAAATTACAAATACCGCAGCAGTATGACACGTGACAAAGATTGTCCGTTTTGTTGCGCCGGTTCGGTTGTGACACAGGCCGCGTGCAAGCCAATTGTGCAGCTATTGAGTAGTACAGCCAGTGGAAATTTCACGGCGGTTTGATCCGCGTTTATAGTTTCATCCAAAGGCGAACGCTATGTTTCGTCTCTTAACAATTGCGCCTATTATTGTTTTCTTTTATTTATTTTTTTTTTTTTTTTTTGTACGTCCTGGATCGATTTATAAATAGATTTTTGTTTTTCTTTCAAAAAAAAAGAAAAAGTTTTGTTCTCGTGTAAAACACGCGAAATCAGCGAATTGTTTCGCAAAACATAATAATTCACCAAATAATAATCAAGTAATTTAGCGTAAAACGTGTGTCTGTTTTTCTCTTCCAGGCTCTGGCAATGATTAATGCAACAAAGAGGTAATGTGGCGAAACTTCGGTCGGACGGCCATTCTGGCCACGTGGACGATCTTCTTGATTTTGAACAGCGGCTTGGGCGGCGAACGAATCTTCAATAATCTGCGGATCAGCGATGAACGCACTTCTTACAAAATTCAAAGAACGATGTCCCCCGCTTTTGACGGGAAAACTACCGATCGCTTCGCGTTGCAACGCATAAAGGAGGGCTTCAAATCGAATGATCGTTCGTCAATGCGTGCGAAAGCAGTTTCTCCGAAATGCAAAAATACGGAAAATTCCAATTTACGTCTGAGTGACTGTGAAAAGAGCAACGCGGTGATGTCAAATGCAGTGACTGCACCGAAGCACTTCAAAGATAGTGACGGTAAAAATGTCCGGTCGACTACCGAAGAAACGGCAACGAAAAAAGCGCGACTGTCAAAACTCATTGCCGTGAAAAAGTTGCGGAACACAAGAAATTATCGCAAGTTCGGATCGAATGCAGCCGTATCGTATTCTCCGAAATTAAAAGAAGCCGAAATGAGACATAAAAAAATAACTACCCACGTGTTCTCGAGCAAACGGAAAAGAGCGATAAGACGCGATGTTCGCAAGAAGTTCGACGGAAAGAAGAAGATCGAGTGGTGGAAGAGGCGCGAGAAGCGACGAATCGACAATAAATACGGACCGATCGCATTTCGTTTCCCCGACGAATTCCCGAGGCGTTCGCCAAGCGAAAATAACGATCCGGACGTACGCAAAAATCTCGATAGTTCGAAGAAGCAATTCGAAACTATGGAAAATACCGAATTTAGGAAAGTTAACGCGATGCGCGAACGTAATAAGAACGAAGGAGTTTCTCAAAGTTTCGAGTCGATGAGAAACGGCGCAAATAATAAATTGACGTACGCGAAAAACGAGTCTAAAACGTTGAAGATAACACTGCCGAGTCGTTCGAGTTTAAAAGGAGATCAGAATCGTGAGAATGTGGAAGCTATTATGAGCGTCACCGATAGCGCAATCGCCGAGGATTCAACTTACGATCGTTCTGCAAACGTCGCCTGGACTACGTTAATCGCCGACTTCGAAATCTCAAATGCAAACGGCGAAGTCGTTGACGACGAGAACGCGATAAGTTCGTATCACTTTTCGAAAGACGAAGATCCGAGATCCTATAAACCTTTGAACGAGTTTCAAACGATCATTGCGTACAAACTTCGCGGAGGATATTCGAAATCGGGATTTAAAGTAAAATACTCAGACGTACGCGGGAACAGAAAAGAAAATGAGAATAACGTCAATTCGATTGCTATTCGCGTAGAAAATCCGCGCGGCATTCGTCTAACTGGCACGGGAATCAGATTTGCGGAACGTTCTCGTACGCGGGAAGACGCGTTGGCGCGCGATACGTCTGTCGGTTCGCGACGCGCATACGTTTCGTCGAACAATATCCGCGGCGAGGCAAAAACAAATAGCGAGACAGAGAATCTTAGCGGATCACGACCGAGAAGAAGAGACGCGGAGAAGATGATTACCGATGTGGATTACGCAACGCGCGATAGACCACCTCGCGCCGATGAACGTGATCCATTATCTAGTTTATCCACCGGGAAAATCAACGAGACAAAGTTAGATACGTATACGGAACGTATTTCAGTCACGCGGGATAAGAATCCGATGCACGTACAACACGTCGAACTCGACGCTGACTGCGAGCGCTCGCGGACAACCGACTTCGAGGCCGAAGTTCGTGGCGTGCTTCGAACGAGCCTCAGGAATGTTTCTGGTCTATCGAGCATGTCAAAATTCGGGATAGATCTCTCGGCGCGAAAGAATCATAATCGCGTGAAATATTCCGCGAATTTCGATCCGATCGATATTACCGAGCCCACCCGTCGCGCGACCGCGACGAGAAGCGATGAAAAATCGAGACTCGACGAGGAGGACGAATCCGCGAAAACTTCGATCGTAAGCAAATTCGCTTCTTCCGATGTAACAAACGTCAGCGATGATTTAGGAGGAGTGCGGAAGAAGATTAATGAGTTCAAGCAATTCGCAAACACATTTACAACGAACACGTTCAAATTAGAAAACGTCAGAGACAAATCGACGAGTCGACGAGGAAATCATCGTGGCGTGCGTGAGGGATCTAAAATTTATTCGCCAAACGGCGGTGTCGGTAATTCAAAATATCGGAGAAACAAACGTCACGAAGTTCGAGACGCTCTCGGGAATTTCGCGTCGACTCGGCTCGAAACATCGAAGACACTCGACACTACACCGGCTACAACAAACTTGCTGATCAAGTTTAACGCGAGTCCATTCGTCTTGGCCACTCGACCGAATAATGCGGATCAAACGTCATCTGTCACGAGAAAACTTCTCACAACTACGGAAACACTACCGTTTTCAATGTATCAGAACACGTGGCGATCGAGTCCGTTGATTGAGTCCGATGAACGTCATACGAGAACGTCTGTGGGAACGGATTTCGGTGATTTAAACTCGACGAAGATATCCCCATTAAACGCTCCGAAAACGGCAAACGTGATCTCGACGTCACCGATTCCGCGGGTCATGCTCGAACGATCGACACCGATGGCCGAAGTAGACAACTTCGTTACTCCGGATCTTTCGAACGGAAACGTATTCGATCTCGACGTTAAAAAAGTCTTCACTATGTCGTCGATCGAACCCATTAACTCGCACGAGGAGGAACACGAAACGGAACACGATCCCGTGTCGACGATCGATCCGGTTTCTCAAAGAAGCGGCTTAACCTCTCGAGATGTCTCGGCGAACGACTCGTCGACAACCGATGACGTGCTTCTGGAGCAGTGGCCCGTAAAACATAGCGCGGTGGTGGAGGGTGATCTTGTCCTCGGTGGATTGATGATGGTGCACGAAAGGGAGGACAATATTACGTGCGGCCCGGTAATGCCGCAGGGTGGAGTTCAAGCTTTAGAAGCGATGCTGTATACGCTGGACACGATCAACGATCGTGGAATCGTGCCCGGTGTCAAGATCGGGGCGCATATACTCGACGACTGTGACAAGGACACGTACGGCCTTGAGATGGCGGTAGATTTCATCAAGGGTAAGTACAATGCGCTAATTACAATCCTGCGGCGGATGATCATGCACATTTGTATGCAGATCACTGCATATATTTCATCACACAGCAAACACTTTGTGTGTGTGTGTGTGTGCGCGCACGCGTGTGTGTACGTATAATATTATGCAAAGAGATAAGTTGCGTGAAAAAATTCTACGGGTTGAAAAATTGAGATTTTTCGGTTTATATCTCTGTGTGATTCCATTTCGTGGTAATCTGAACTGGAAAATACAACGTGTTAAATCCCGTGCGAACTTCTGATTGACTCGAACATATCTTCTTTAACATATCTCTTCTCTTATATACCGACATATTTGATTTTCCTCTTACTTATATCGTTCTTCCTCATTTCTACCGGTTTGAGATTTTTGTATTTACCTTCTCATATTCCCGGCCAAAAGTAGATCTACGCCTGAAATTCTGCTGGGTCGCGCAAAATCGAGCAAACTCAATATGAATATCGAGTATTCCTCGAAGGGAATTTCCGATACGCGTTGCTGCCGCCATTGATGAAAGCGCTATGGGAGAATACGCGCGTGCGAGAGAGATAGAGAGAGAGAGAGAGAGAGAGAGGGGGGGGACCTATAATATCGTCAGAGAAATTTCCAGTCAGGAAATTATGCTAGCAAAACCACTGCGGCATAATTTCTGATGGAACGAACTTGTATTGACTTATTTCGTTATCGTCTTCACGCGGCGCAATGATTGGATTTATACACTCGAAGGAAAGAGAAGAAAGAAAAGAGAGAAATAAAAGAGACGCAGAGAAGACGTGCACATGTATATCAAAGAAAAATTGTTATTCCTTTTGAACGCGCTTTTTTATATGTAAAATACATAAAAGATAAAGCCATTTTTCTAGATCAAATATTCCACATAAAGAAGAATCCTTTATTGTCAAATTAAAATTTGACGAGTAAACGTCAGATGGAAAGTCAAATAAATGCTCGTGAGATTGTTTGTCTAGTCACATAAAGGTGATAAAAAAAGTATCTTTATCTTTCCCGAGATTTTTAGTACACGTAAATAATGCGCGTGTGTATTAACAAATACTTCATGCCATTTCCCTCCTTCTCACCATATATTAAAAAATGTATAATATATATATGTGTATGTAAAAAAGTAATTTAATTTTAAAGCACTTGGAACATTCCTTTGAAAACTGTACTTTCGTAAACATGCGATATATTAAAATTGTTAACAGCGGGGAAATATGTCAATTATATAAAACTACTTATAATAAAATACATATATATATATATATATGTTTAAAAGCGTAGAATGATGTGATACTTACCATGGATAAATAAATAAAGAAATAAACTAGAAGTGAATCCTCCTCGATTGGATTTCAGATATCGGCTGTCGGTAAGTTTTCAAGCTGGAAAAGAGAGGTTTCCAACAAGGTACTTTTCAAAGTACCAACTGACAATTTCTCGGAGAAACGCGCGAGCAAAAGCCAGCTTACGATAAAATCCTTTAATTTATCACACGCCGGCGTTTTTTCCCGAGCGAGTTTCGTCGATGCGCATAAACATAAACTATAAAACCAGCATAATTGTCAACAAGAATATCGAACGTGTCTGGTTTACAAAATGATCTCAGAAAATCTCTAATTTTTTACTCGACATGATTATCTCGCTATCTTTTAGCGCCAACAGAATTATTTCTAGCTATGCAGATTCTTTTTCATAACATCGTCACTCCCTACGTATAATTACATAAGTGTCACATACGGGATTTTCAGTTTATTGCATAGTGACACTTAGAAAGTCATGTTCTTTATGGTCACCAAATATTAAAAAAAAATATTCATAAGTAAGGTAAAAATTTAAAATCGAAAGATTCCTTAACTAGAGAAAATATATGAAGCTTTAAGCTTTTAAACTGCTCTCCTCTAAAATTTGCGTTTTGGAGTTACGGGATTATACGTAGGGAGTGACGATATTAATAACACAGAGTTTATTTAATAATCTATAGACGATAAAACATTTTGATTGCGAAAACTTTGCACTTTTCGCGTTTGTGAAAGAAGAATCCTAGCTATTTTCTTATCAGCGAGATTTTCGCGAAAATATTATCACCTTTTTTAGTTAACACGCTTGGCTCTTGCTTTGCAATATGTAAGAATCATCTGAAATTCGAAAGAAACAGACAGTTACTGCATTCGCGCAAGAATGTCTTCTTCTTCTTCTTCGAGGCGCCGAGAGATATCTCGGCGAAAAGTTACGTCCTAAGAAACGTGTGACAACACGTCGCGGAGTTTCACGGTGCGATAACAAACCGAAAGAGATTAAAGTCGTTGTATTATTCAACGGGTGACGCGTCCAACCAACGGTGGGATCGTCTTCACTGCGGACTGGAAGAATTCTTTATTCAGACCTCATATTTAATTTTAACCTCGCGGATTAATAGTCGCCGCGTCGGCGAACACACGACGTACCACCGCCAGGACTCTCGCGAGCTTCTCCCAGCTGACACCGAACTCGTTGATATTCACGATAGGATAGTAACCCGGTTTTATTGATACTTCTATAAAACCGTAGAATCTTGAGTGGCAACTTTATTGGCACGGAAATGTAGGCTGCGCGCGCGAGCGTGTAAACATTCGCTTATAAACTGAGCCCCGTGTCCAAGTTTGCGGAACATCGTCGATAAACCAAAATCGTTTCATCTGTCATACAAATCCTCCCATCAAATTCTTTTTAACGTTTCAACAATTCGCGTATCGATAATTGCTCGAGCAACATTTTGAAATCTACGCCGTAAATATTTGTGAAAAAAATTGTTATAGTGTTGTCACGCGCTGCACACTGTGTAAACAATTTTGATGTAAAATTGCAACAAGAAAAGAGAGAAATATTGAGACCGACAACAATAACTTCCCGAACGTATTGTAAATTTACACGCGCGCGAACGTATAAAATACTATATTGCACATTTACATAATATTTATCATTTATAATACACGTATATTGTTTATATCAAATTTCAACAATTAAAAACGCAAATATGTTTAAACAGTATAGAATAAAAAATATGTTCGCGCGTAGAGTCACACATGATTTTTAAATCGCACTTTTTTTTATCAATAACGTAATATTTACATGTATTTTTTTGTGCAAATTTACACGATTTTCTTACAGTGCACTTAACAAAAAAATATATATTTGTCGCTATAAAATCAATTTACCGCATATACGTTTTTAATTACGCGATCTGTAACGTGAACCACGCGCAAGAAGCGATAATAGCGACACGGCTACGATAGGATTGATTTGACATATTTAGCCCGCGGATATGCGGATAATCTCGAACCTATAGGTTCTCCATCTATAAGCCGTTAATTAATATTGCATGTCAAATTTCCCGTTGAGAACGTGTCGCGGTCCATAATTGTTATTGCGTTTGGTAATATACAGAATTGATCTTTATATATGCAAAGCGCGCCGCGAAAATTGCGATGTTGCAATCGTCACGCGATACATCATGCGATTTGTACGATATTTTATAGAAACTTTCCGGACTTTCTTGTAACCACCGAAAGAAAGTCATTGAACTACTCACCGGTGAAAATGTGTGATTAAAACGAGAGTATCTATTATTCCTATATACCTTTCTCCTAAAAGCGTACACATTACTTCTACCTGGCAACTTCATCTTGAATCGCAGCTGAATTGTTTCGTGAAACACCAGGTGCAACGCTACCACTATATAGACGCGCTTTATAGACTTCGCCGTGTGGTAATATTCGAATCGACTGCTGCAAGCCTATAAATAGAGAATTATCGTACCGTAATGTTTCGTTAACGAGCAAGCAGTACGTTTACAGTCAACAACCCCACTTGTTGTTCAATATTTCTACGTACTTTCTCACAAGGTGGATTTAAAATTAAAACACAAAACAAAAAAAATTAGAACATTCCGCGCGCACGTTTAATTTAAATACACGATAATGAAACTGCTTCAATTCTTGCGACGGAATATGCGAGAGACCGGTGTGATTACAATTATTAGACGTTCCGCCGAATTCTGCATTCCGTGAGTACCGGAATTCCATATCTGATGAACGGGGTACAATGAACGACGTTCATGGTACCGTCGTTGTCATTAGAACGCGGACGTTTTTGCGTCGAGCTGCAGCACGCGAGCTCTCTCTCTCTCTCTCTCTCGAGATAACGTTGCTCCCTAGTGGCGAACACCGCAATTTGTTACGACTCGCTTCCCGACGAACGATTTAAAAACAACAATTTTTCAACGTTCAACTCGGCCGAGGCACCGCGCGGCAAAGGAGATAATGGCAAAATCGAATCGCAACAATACCGCTACAATACCGCACCGGAAATGAACGGTAATAATAACGATTATGTGAAAGCTTAACAACCAGAATCTCGACCCTCGGTCAGAACGTTGTTTCGTTTGAAGCGAACTATTCATTTGCCGCAAGAACGCGGAAACGCGAGTCTCCTCGAGAAACTATTCGTCCGGGATATATGTTCGAACAGTTGAGTTTTGTTGCACAGTTACGAGAGACACGTTCAATGGCGACGTCGTCGTCGCGCGTCCGTTCAGAAAATAAGCAATACGTCTCTGTCGCATTTGTTCCTAAAGACGTTTCTGTGAAGAAAATTCGAAAAAATTCGAACAACAAGTTGAGCGACGCGTCAAGATAAAGAAACTCAATTTGGATAAAAAACTCTTCTCGATCTTTTTAAAAAAACTTGTTTATATATTAGCGGCGAAATATATGCTTGTACAATTTTCTCCGCGCGTTTCGCGCGATAAACCGACGCGAACCAAATCACGGTTGTTTTGAATGTAAATTTTGGATATCGTCAAACTTCGTCGAAAAGCGCCAATAAACGCGTTTCCCTTCTCTTTCTCCTACAAGTCGAGTTGTTGATGTCAATGTTCGGGCGAACGCTGCGGTGGAATATTTAAACGTGCACTCGCGTGGCCAATATATATCGTAACATCAAACG